ATCAATCTTCTGTAACTAGGCAAGGCTTTAGGTTCAGAGAATGATTGGGACATCATCCCAGCCACAAAACGTTTGACCCACAATTTGTCCTGACTGCAGAGTGTTCTGGGACCATAGCCAGGAAGAATTGCCATCACAGAGACCAGAGAGACTTCATTGAACAATTGATGGGAGCAGGTGTAGAGTCCCACAGTCAAACATTAGGTGGATCTTGGGGAGTCATGAGGAGGAAGGGGAGGAAGAATTGAAAGTAGCAGCGTGATTAGGGACACCAGGAGAACAACACCTAAAGAATCAACTGACAAAGACTCATAGCGACTTCCAGAGATCAGGGAGACTGTATGGATCTGAACTAGGTCCTCTGTATATACACGATGGTTGAGTAGCTTGGTGTTCTTGTGGAATTCCTAACAGTGAGAACAGGGTCAGACTGTTTGGGGGGGGGGGGTTGTTTCTTATGAAACCCTTTTCCTCCTACTGGGCTGCCTCATCTAGCCTTGATGTGATGGTATGTCACTGGGCATTTTGTTGCTCGTTATGCTGTGTTTGGTTGATATCCCTGGGAGGCCTGCATGTTTTTTCTTAGTGGAGTTAGAGGGGTTTGGGTCTGAGGGAGAAGTTAGGAGGGGTGAGAGACTGGGGTTGGGAAGTGAGGGGAAATGTGATTGGAATATAATATACGAAAGAAGAATAAAAATAAAACATAATAAACTAATTTATAATGTGTTCTAAAATCTCCAAACTAATTGTGATTCCATGCTTTCCCTCTTACTCCTACTTTCTTAGCTATTATTCTCATATTTGACTATGTTCCTATGCTCAGTACTATAAAATATGACAGGCTATATGTTTGAAATATAAGAAATGAATTGAAGACAACCAAGAACAATGTCAGTATCCTGGAATGTTTAGGAGTCCATGGTCCCTAGAAGATAAGACACTGTTGCTGAAGATACCATATGCTGGAATCATAGATCATGGAAAAATCAAGGAGGGGTCACCTGGAAGCTTCATCCTTATTGGATGAAGTTTTCACACTGCTAGATGTAATCAAAAATTTTACCCAGGTGTGAGCCCTGAGAGCTATAACACCAACAAGCCTGGTGCAATGTGTTTTTGAACATCATGGGAGTAACTCAAAATTTTATGAATAACTGAAAGTCCACTTTACAAGATGGAGTGCATGCTTTGGAGCATTATCAGAGACAAGAATATGTGGCCAGGGGGTACATAGACCTTGTACATCTACTGAATAAAAATAAAAACCATTTGTGTAAATAAAATCAACTCAAATTTTCTTGTTGTTTTTGGTTTCGTTTGGTTTTTCAAGACAGTGTTTCTCTGGGTAGCCTTGACTGTCGTGGAACTCCCTCTGCAAACCAGGGTGGCTTTGAACTCAGAGATCCACCTGCCTCTGTGTCGCATGTGCTGGGATTAAAGGTGAGTAACAACATTGCCCTGCCATAATTTTAATCCAATTAATCAAGATTTACTTCTGTGCACAGCAAAGCTGGACCAGCAGCTCTCTCCGCTGGTATGGGACTTAGGAGAACATTTATGAGTTAAATTTCTAGACTCCTTTTGTAGAACAAAACCATAAACTGGAGGTTGTCAGAGGAATATGGCAACATAATAATCTGGTAAGCAAAATACAGAGGTAGATAGCAGTGTAAGATTATCTGGCAGAACATCTTGAGGTTTGGGAAGGGTGGAGGTCAAGACACAAGAGTGTGGAACAAGTCAAATTCCAGGAAACAGAAAGTTGAGGGTTTTTTTTGTTTTGTTTTGTTTTGTTTTTTTGAGATAGGCTTTCTCTGTGTAGCTTTGTGCCTTTCCTGGATCTCACTCTGTAGACCAGACTGCAGAAAGATGAGTTTTGCAGGAAACAGAAATGATTTTTTTTATCTCCTAACAAGATGTCTACTGATCTTAAGATGGAGTCAGACTGGATCATTACCTGACCAAGAACTTAAAACAATTCTTCTCCTAAAGGGACAAAATAAGAAACTGTTCCCTACACACTTATCTTTATGCTGATTGATTAGGATATCTTTGAACCCTCAACAGAGAAAATTATTTTTGCAGGAAATGACGATTAAGACAAAGGCCCATATTATTCAAGTTGGGAGAATAAGATGTGCTGGAGAGACCAGTTAAAAATGAGATCTATATAACACCTCTTCCTTCCAAGACTCAAGAAGCATCATGGAAGAAGAGGAAGTAAGAGTGTTAGAACCATTTTGGTGGAAGATGATTCCAAGGAAACTGGTTTTGTCCAGACAGAACAGAGCCCTTGCACATATGAATTTACTTGTTATGGCAGTATGCTAGAAACCTGAACAAGATCAACATAGAAAAATCTCAGCAGAGTGGGGGTGGTCAGGAAGTCTCACTATTAGCTGAAGAGCTAAAGTCACAGATGTCTTCTGGGAGAAGTGTCAGATTTCTAGTTTTGAGGTACCATTCATGATTCCATAGATGCACTGGAGTAGGCACATACAATTGTCACAACATAGACTTGATGATTTTTATTCTTTAGTTTTGTTTGTTTTAAGTAACACATGAAAGTTGGAAAGAACTACGATGGGCAGATAAGAAAGGAATTGGAAGAAGATAAGTGTTTGTAGACTTGAAAAAACATATATGCATGTATGAAACACTCAAACATTTTAAGTAATAAATGTTACAAACCTTCTAAAAAGTAACTATGTTTGTTTGTGTTGGAAGAAATCAGTGAAGTGTGGAATCCAAACAGACACAACGATTTCTCTAAATTTCTCATGACCCCAACTTCAAAGTTTCTAGGACCTTCTGCATGAGATCCTGTCAATCTTCATAGATCATAAAAACTCAATGTTTCTTCAAAACACCTTGTCCCTTTGGGTAAATTCCAAAGGAACTCTAAAGGGTCTTTGGTAATTAACAACTGGAAATGTTACATAAATAATCTTGTCTCCCAAAGACAAAGCTGTCATTGCTACTGCAGATGAAATGATAATTGCGTTTCTGGAGAGAGGTGAGGTCACAGAGTCACAGACCTCTGCTTCCGACATGGGATGACTCTCCCCCAGTGCTGGTTATTAATGTGTCTGGACATGACTGATGAACGCACCTTCCAGCTGAGACAAGAAGCCAGGTGAGTACTGTGTACTTCAATAGGGAGCAACGGAGTCAGCAAAGCAGAGAGGCCTGAGTAAGTGCTCTCGTGTGGCAATTGGAATCTGGGGTAGAAACAGATCCATGGAACAGAGAAGTCACAAGAATGATTGTGTAACTAAGAGGTGAGGTAGAAAGATCCAAGGGTTCCTAATCTTGTCTCTTTTGTTTCTTACTGCAATATAAGTCCCCCATAAGGGGTGACTGTGGGTATCACCAGGATAATGCAGCCTATCTGTGAATGCACTGAGGGATTGTGGTAATAAATAAATGTGATAATTCACCTTGGCTTATATGATATGAAGACTATCCTTGCAGTATCATTATTATAGTTTAATTTACCGTGGTTTCATGTCATAGTAAACATTAGAATGGATACGTAAGAAGCACATCTCCCTGGGAAGTGCAGGATGTGGCTGTCACAGTGGAGTAAAAAATATTCACATATGACACTGCAGTTATGATCTGGTTATAGGAGCAGTAGCTGAGTCTCTATTGAAAGATCATTGCTTTAGTGACTGGTCTGAAGCTTCTCCTTCTTGATCTTGGGAAGGCAACATGGAGGGGAAGATACAATATGAGTATCAGGTGATTAGAGCCAAGACCAAATGTGTCTTGAGTTATTTCTCCTTGTTTAATCGTATTCTAATACTAAGCATAAACTGCTGGCTTGCCTTCACTCACTGATTAATGTTGTGGCTAGTCCGAGGCAGCCTGATGCGTGCTATGATAGAACTACCCCTCAGCTATATTTGTGTTCACACAGTGCTGTATCTCACTGGACAATGTTTAAGATTTCACATTCTTCTGACTGCACTTTACTATCTCACAGGGGTCATGTCTATTTGAATGCATCATACATTTTATTATAATAGATTCATCCATATAAGAATTAGTAAATAAGCCAGGTTGTGGCAAAAACCTTTACTCCCAACATGTGGGTGACAGGGGAAGGGATAGCTCTGTGAATCTGAGGTCAACATGATCAATACAGTGAGTTTCAGGATAGCCAGATATACATCCAGGGACACTTTCATGACAAAACACCGAGAGAGAGAGAGAGAGAGAGAGAGAGAGAGAGAGAGAGAGAGAGAGAGAGAGAGAGAGAGAAACAAAGCAAACACAATGTTGAGTTCTAAATGAAATGTTTTAGGAACTTAATGTTCTTCTCATGGAATTATTTGTTAATTTCATATTAGTGCTTCATATCATGTGTTGTACAGATTAATACTGTTAGTAATTCCTCTGTGGTATCTACTATAGCCTTTACCCTGCTGTGTCGACAATTTTTAGTGGCATCATAAACATCAGGTCCATCTTGTGCTTCTGAAATCAAACTGGAAGACAGGACAGTTTTCTGTTAGGTCTGACCTCACTGAGAACACTGCTCTTTACTAAAATCTTAGAAGCATTGGAAGTTGGCATCTGCCTATAAGATAAAACTTTATGTGTCTGTCTTTATTGTGTGTGCATGCATGTTTTCCCTGCATGTAAATATGAGCACTATCAGAATCTATAGTGCCTGCAGAGGCCAGAAGAGGGTGTCAGAACCCCCTGGAATTGGAGTTGCATATGGTTGTGAGGCATCATGTGGGCACAGGAAGCTAAATCCAGGTCCTCTGCAACAGCAGCAGGTGTTCCTTTTCACTGAGCTATCCCTCTAGTCCTCCCAAATGAAAACTTTCTTCCACCAAAGTATACAACAGAATACTAACAAAGTGAACAAGTCAAGTGGGGAACACAAACTGCACAGAAGACTGGAGTATGTTTGAGATCATCCATCATGCCTTTGTGAGCACATACTGAGGTGGCTGTGTTTGTGACACACTAGCCATGTTAAAGTCCTCTAAGTATCCACCATGCCTCTAAGTGCCGGATGTGGCATAGGAAAAGCCTGATGTGTTGCCAGTGGAATCTGTGCTAGAGGTACCCAAGATTGAGGACATCAATCCCTCCGGGCCTGCCCCAACAGATATTCTGCTAAGCCTGCCTTCTGTGGGCCAGGGAGAAAACAATCCTTGTTTCCAGAGGGCAGACTTTATGGCGTATGCATGTCATGTTCTCACCCATCCAAATGTTACTGGTTCTTATAATCCTCCTACTCTGTTTGTTCTTTATGATTTTCTTTCTCTCTCCTGTGATGGTTTCCATGAAATTGGAAATGATTTTGAGATTGTGACAATGGCAAGAGTTAAAGCTGCTATGCAGGTCATGGGAAAAAAGGTTGGTGGCAGAAAGCTGTGGATGGAGTGACAAATAACTAGGTTAAAAGGCAAGAGTTGTCCAGAACTAGTTAGAAGACAACTTAACGAATTACAGAGAGATGAAGAAGGACTTAAGCTGAGAGGAAGCTGGCAGTCTGGTACCTTAACCAGTGCTTGTATTTCTGTGATTTCTGAGAAAACTCAAGTAGATGGCCACTGGGGTGATTACCTCAGATGTTCTGATAATTATTAACCTGCAAAAGAATAAGCTGGTATGCTTTGGCTTTCTTCCTGGAAACTTCTATGTGCAATCAAGGGGTTTGGGGTACACTTTGTTGATTTACAAAAAGAACTTTTGAAACTATTGTGAAGAACCCAATCACCTGATGAATTTTCTTATCCCCTATTTCCTTGTATTATTGCAATAAAAGACTGGGGTTGAGTCAGATCGGGAGAAGGCTGAGAAGATGCACATCTCCAGATCTGAAAAGACTCGTCAGCTTGCACCAACTCTTCTGGCCCAGTCTTTTCTTGTGCCTGGCAGACATCCCTGCTCTTTGAGACCCTCAAAACTGCTGAGGCTGGTCCTCGGCATCTAAACGCTTTTTGGAGTTCAGATCATAGAATTATAAACATCAAAGAAGATGTCCAACTGAAAGGATAGCAGTGACTCATAAGTTGTCACTGCTATTTGACACACATACACTTAATTCACAAAAAAATTAGTTTCTGTTATACACTTAACTTTTAACAAAAAAATTTAAGTGAATATTTACCAGTAAGAATATTGGATTTCAGTGTATGTGTCCAGTGTGACCACACACTACCTTTGTGGGCAGAATCCTATAGCTGTGAAGAAAAATATACATTATCAGATTGGGAACAGTGACTTCACAGATCTAAGAACAGGAGTAGTCTCACCCTGTAGTGGACTCTGGTCTCTGCTTCTTTTACTTAATGTTGCTTCTTACTTCACTACACTGAGTCAGGTGGATAACCAAATATTCAATTTTCAAGTACATGCTACAGATATTTTCTAGTTATTATTATTCAGAGTCTCAAAAGCCACAACAGCTCTGAAAATGAAGCATCTTATCAATACACGTAATTTTTTCCATCTTCACAGATATGGCTAGGTAGATCTATTGGCATCACTAACCTCGGAATGTACCTGACCTCTCAGCAAGCAAACAACCCCAGGTAGGTAGAACTTTAAAAAACTTCCTGGGATATTGGGTTTTCACTTGTCCCCTGTTGGATGCTGTGTATCTTAAACTATGTCATATTTCCTATGTGTATGATTATCTAAAGCAACAACAACATCAATAAAGAAAATGATTGTGATATTGTTTTAATGAATCTTTCAGTGAACTCACACATCACTCAGGATCAGTGCTCGCTCACAAATATTGAATGTTGTTTGTTGAGATATTGGTCTCAAACCGATTTCGTGAGTTTCATGTGAGTACACCCACTGCCATTTCTCAAAAAACCTTAAACAAAACACAATTTCTTTTTTGTTTGTGATCTGTACATTTTCAATATGGACACAAAACTCAAAACCATACATCTCATGGGAATTTCACAAGTGAAACATCATTTGGAACCCAATAGATGAAGCATGAAACAATACTGTAGGATTTTTCAAGGGTCTACTGGAATGCAGAACTCTTTCATCTGTCTATGTTGATTAATTGAGCAAGGATTATAACTGGGCAATATGGATGGTCTGTAGGTTGAAGGTCCAAGATTATTACTGGATTATAAACCCCACTTTTCTTTGGCGATACAAAGAAATTTATTTTTGTTGTTATTTTTTAAATTGAGGTTATTGGGATATAGGTTAGTATTTGTTTTACATAGGCAGATGTGATCAGTTTTCCACAGTATTTATGGTGACATTCACAGACATTTCCAGGGTCTGAGGTTCTTGGTTTACCCAAAATACTACCGTCAAACTTGGTATTTTAAATTATCTTTCCTTCACATTCTGTTCAATTTAATTTTCTTCATTCTATTTTTTGTTACTAATCTATTTTTTAATTAGCTTAAGAGTAGCAGGTTGCTTTTAGGCCTTTTGTTACTTAGTGTTTTGATTGAGTCGATCACTCTTTGTCCCATCTGTCCACGATCACTCCAGCTTCTGTGATCAAGGCACATTTCTACTATGTTCTTATCACTCATCAGCTGTTGTTCTTATCCTTGATATTTCTGCTGACTTATTTCTTTTGTTTTTATTCTGTTGGGCATTCTGTGAGATTGTATCTCAAAGGTTGTCCCCAGTGCTCTAACAGTCCTAACCTAAGTGTGCACAAATATGTGTGTGCCTATGTGGTGTGACTTTTTATAAGAGCAAGATCTAAACTTAATGAGATATAAGTTGTCACTTGAACCATCATTTGAATACATTCTATGTACCTAATAAAATTTTCTTATCCATGACCATAGGTATAATATGAAAGGTATTATAAATTTCTCATTACTTAATTTTAGATGAGATATACATTAAGAATTGATATGTTTTTATTTTGTAGTAATAATTGAAGAAATTGGCTTCTTTTATACCATGACTAGAAAATATCACTATATTCTCATAGACTTTTATTATGCTTGTTAGTACTGGCTCTCGCTTTTCATTTCTTCTCACAGGCCAAATAAACTCACCCATTATGCGGCACATTCTGTGATCATGAAGGCATATCCCCCACCCACATATATGTCCTGAGGCCTTTAGCCATCTAACACTAGTATGGATTGTAAGTAAAAATTGCTGCTGTCATAAACTTTGAGAAATTCTTGTTATGTGTTCTGTGCTGGCATGTCACTGCTGAGCTCTAGGGGACTTTCTGATTTAGCTTCTCAGTTGCTCTTTGGATTACTAATACTTTTCATTCATTTTGACCAGAAAAATGGCTGTGGCCCTTAGCTGAAGAAAATCATGCTCAGTCGCATAATGGACTTCTGGAATCTGACAATCAAAATAATGTTCTTGTCACAAACTACAGCTGGAATTCTGGGAAATTTCTCCCTTCTTTCCTACTATCTAGTCTACTATGGAACATACACATTAAAGCCCACAGATTTGATTCTCATGCACCTAATGGCAGCCAATGCCTTGATCATTCTCTCTGCAGGAGTTCCAAACACAATGGCAGCTTTTGGTTTGAAGCAGTTTTTGAATGATTTTAGGTGCAGATTAATTTTGTACATACAAAGAATCAGCCGGGGTGGGTCCATTGGCACCACCTGCCTCTTGAGTGTCTACCAGGCCATGACCATCAGTCCCGGGAAATCTTGTTGGAAGGATCATAAAGTCAAAGCTGTGAAGTGCATTTGCTACTCCATTGCCCTCCCCTGGGGCTTTTATATGTTGATAAATTTCATTTTCCTTGTGTACACATTTGTCAAAAAGAATAGTGAAAATGTGACAAGAAAACAAGATTTTGGATACTGCTTTATTATGGGGAGTGATGAAATCAATGACTCACTCTATGCAGCATTGGTAATGTGCCCTGAGTTCTTCTTTTCTGTACTCATGGCATATTCCAGTGGCTCCATGATTGTCATTCTTTACAGACACAAGGAGAGGGTTCGACACATCCGCAGCACTCATGGTTCCATCAAAACCTCGCCTGAGTCCACAGCCACTCAGAACATCCTTGCCTTGGTGTCTACCTTTCTTGCTTTTTATACTCTCTCCTCTGTCTTACGGGGCTGTATTGCTATTTTGCATAATCACAGTTGGTGGTTGGTGAATATCACTCGCTTCACTTCTCTATGTTTTCCCTGCTTTGGACCCTTTGTTCTCGTGAAGCACTATTCCATTCTGCCTAGACTCAGTTTGGTCTGAATAAAAAACAAAAATCACTTAACCTTATTTAAATAATATATTTTCTGTTGTGTCCAGTTGTTTACTCACCCATCACCCTGAAAAATTCAATACAGGCAGTTAAAGATGTAGTGTCCTGTCTTTTGACTCTTAACCAAAATGATGAGTAAGGGAATTTTGTCAGCAGGGTGAATTAGCAGCCTACATGAGCTGATCATATTGTGTGAGGACTACCTCACTTTTCAACTTATAGCTGTAAGTCTTCCTTTTGTCCAGCTTGTGTACAAAGGAGCTAGCAGAGAAGCTCTCAATAAAGTTGCCCTTCTTATGGTATACATCCTGCAAGGATTCTTGGCTCCCTGGTTATTATACAGACAGCTTGTGGATCCTACAGTCTTACTGCCTGGAAAACTGAAACCATGGCTGAAGATGTGCTTCAAGTGGCTCTAGCCTGTACCGTTACCAGACAAGTTCTTCATCCATAACTTCCCAAATATCCCGCTTACAACTGCACTAGAGATATTCCTGTTTGTTTGTTCTGAACCTTGTAGTAACAGTCCTCAAAGTCTAAGAAGAGAACATTTTCCCTTGCCAGTTAGTCAAAATGTGATTAATATTTTTCACCTCATACAGAAGTCAACTCAAAATGAATGATGGTATTGATATTATCTTGAATTTTGTTTGGTTGTATTTTATTGAGAAAATTTTCAACTGTGTTCACCAGAAAGATTGGTCTGTAATTTTTCTTTGTTGTTGTGTCTTTATCTGATTGGCATCAGTGTGATACTGCCTTGTGGGAGCCCGTTCTCGGGTTCCTCGTGGCTTTACCCAGCAGGTCTGAATAGAGGATGATCAGGACCACCGGCCTGAGTGCAGGTGTCTGAGATGGTCTGCACTTGGCTGTGCTGGGAGAGGAGGTCTTTTGCTCCACCCCTTGGCGTCTCTATAAAAACCCTGGGCCAGAGACAGTCCGGGCCGTTGGAATAGGTTCCAGGCCCTCTC